AGTCCATTGTCCTACCCCTGAAGTCCCTTGGCCCCTAACTTCACCCCTGCTCGAGCCCGAAAAGAGCCAGGAGTCACATGTGCCAAGACCTGCCATGAAACACAACAAACGTCAAATGGTTAGAATCGTACCAAGCTCTTGCCATCACTGTTAAGATCATGCCAAGCTCTTGCCGGTCATGCAGAAGATCCTCGAGTAAGCGCAGCGCGCAGGGATTGAAACTCTGCTCGCAAGTAACATGGGAGCAAGTGAAACTTAGTCATGTCAAAACCTTGGGAAACCCAACGCGGTTTGGCAGGAGCCCTCCTCTGAAACCACCGGCGGCAATAGAGCCGCACACGTCCCGTTTTCTTGACAAGATGAGGAAGTATCAGCGCTCCCATTTGCTTGGTGGCAGCGGCTTCGCCGTCGCTTTTGCTTTCGCCTTCGCACGAGGCTTTGCCTTCGCCTTTACCTTCGGCTTGGGCAAAGGCTGGGAGGGTGATGGACGCTCAGACCTCGTAGTGTGAGATGAAAATGCCCGGAAAGGTGGAGCATCTGACTCTGGCGTAGCGTCTCGTTGCTCTGCCCACTCTCTGTCGAACCACTGACTAAATGTTTCTGATTCCTCTGACCCCTCTGACTCTTCAAGGTCTATCTCGTCTGGCCCGCAAGATAGCATGCCCCAGAGGTACTCAGCCAAAGCGTCAGAAAGTTGCCCATGCAAGAGTGCGGGCTGCAGATCTTCTTCTACAATTGTAGTTCAGGCCGGCGCAGCCAAGCTGCCATGCGCCTGGCTGGTCGCACACACTGTGTCTGGCATCACCGAAACAGAGTGGGTCCACTGCAGCCAAGCCCACAACTTAGGCAACGCCTGTCGCAGGTCTTCCCAGTCAAAATAAGCACATCCTCTGTCTTTCGCCACCAGCAGCAAGTGCCGCACAAACTGCAACCCGACATCGGCGTCGGGTAAGAGAAGCACTTCAAGCAGCTGATCAAGCAGCCAGGCCTGAACTGTAAAGAAGCGATCCAAGGAAGCCCAGCCATGGAGACGCACAATATACAGAAGCTGAAGGAAAACCATGCTGAAGCGCACCTGCCCTGCTGTGGGCTCCATGGTAAAACCTTCGTGTCGCCTGCGAATGTGTAGATGCACTTGGTCGTGATTGAGAGCCCCCCCCCCCGCCCCCCCCGGAGCCGAGAGCAGATCGACCTGGCGGCTGGGGCAGGAGATTGGGGCTAGAAACAGTGGTGCGCGGCGCGAAAAGGGAGTATACCCATATGTGCAATTGGTACATTACCTCCATGCCTCTAACACCTGGAAACGCTCTTGATCAGTAGGACCCAGTAGGAAGTCACGAGTTTTGCGCATGAACCTGGGAAGCACCTGGACAGTGAAATGAAGAAACCACTTGGATACAACTGAACGCTGGCGCTTCCTTGGGTATCCCAAACGATTCATTCCCAACACCTGGTGCTTTGTTTGAGAACCCGCAGGTTTCCTCAGACAGGGCCAGACATGGATCAACGAACCCAAGGGAATGCCTAGGCAACACATCCACACGTTTCGGCCGTGGACCTTGCTGACTTTCTGATTGACTCCAGATTTTTAGGGGGCCGTGAAAGCTTTGATCCTGGTGGCCTCCTTTTGGTCCACTTTTGGCTCTTCCTTTCCTGTGTTTGTGGGGGGCGAGGTTTCCCCCTATACCCAAGCAGCCGCCAGTCCCAAGCGCGCCAGCTCAGGCAACGTAATTAGAGGCGGCCGCCTGGTGCGGAGCCTCAAGGACGGGCGCCGGGACGGGGCGGGGTGTGGGGAAGACATGTAAACCATTCATTCGCCATTTATTCGGCGACCCATTTTGGGAATACCCGAGGTTTTGGCCCATAGCCACTTAAACAAGTGCATGAAATGCGTCACTAAATAGCAGAAGAGAATGTCTCATGTCTTCGGAAGGAAGCGGGAATGGACACATGTTGCTTTTCCTGACCAGTCTAGACTTTGCCACTTTTTTTGATCTCATTCAACAGGAACTTGCCCTGGGTGGGGTGCTCTTCAAAGGATAAGCATAGGGATGCCTGGGCGGTGTTGACCGAACGTTGACCGAAATATGGCCGCCTTGATTTTCGGGGTGTGTGGCAACATCGCGGAACCCAAAGGTGCTCCCTTCCACACCCAAACAGGAAGATTTTGTGGATTGGAGGAAACAGTCTTTCAGAGGACCCTTTTTGTGCCGAGTGTTGGAACAGGTGTATGGGGCTAGCCGGCTAGTTGATTGTTTGTTTGGGGGACTCAAATCAGCGGCGGGGTTCCCTTTCAGAATGCCAGGGATCTAGCACCTACCCCCGAGTCGGGGATGATCAATACTGGCTGAGCAAGGGGTAAAGGGTAGCTGGACATATCAATTCTGTTGCTTGCCTGCTGGGATACAGGTAGTTGTCAGTCGGCCCACGAAGCGAAAAACCTCAATCACTCTTGCCAGATTTGCGTGCGACTCAAAGCGCGCCGATGTTCAAAAGCAGTCTCCTTTTTCAACACTGAAGTCTCATATAGAAGAATCTTGTTTTGGGAGGCGGATGTCTTTTCTCTGATCTGCAGCGTCTGCGGGGTCGAAGGCCGAGGCGTTTTGTCGGGTTCAGGGATGGGGCTAGGAGGGGCACTTCTTCGGCCCCGACCTCGCGGCGGATGAGCGCACCTTGATGTGAAGAGAGACGGATGCTGCGGTGCTTCGCTTCCCTCGGTTCGACTGTTGGCCCAGTTGCCCAGCGGTGCTTTTTTTCTCCCTTTTTTCCCCAACAGCTGAAAGCTTTGGGGTCTCAGCGCAGATAGGCTCCGGGGTGGTCCGGGGCGGCACTGAGGTAACCACGGCTCCACCACGGTTCCACCAGGGTTCCACGAGGTTCTGTGAGGGTGGTGCGAGCACTAAAAGAGCACCGCATGCTGTTAGATACAACCCGAGCTTATTTTTCAAGGGTTCCCTTTGAAGTCAACCAGCCAAAAAAGGATGCCCTTTTTTTCCCATGGCCACTGGGCAACTGAGTTGGAGCTCTTCTGGCATAGTGCTCAGATTTGGCTCAAGTGGCGGGTTGACTTTGAGTTGCTTCCCTGGGTTCGACTTGTTTTTGGAGGGAGCTCCCTCAAGATCCGCAAGTTCTCAGGCTCCGGTTTGGTGGATGTTGGTGGCCAGTGTGGATCGAGCACCCTCTTGGCGTGATGTTTCAAGAGGAGAGGTGGTGGCTCGGAGGTTGCGGCCGATGTTGCCGGAGGTTTGTCCAACAGCTGGGCTGTTCAATTTGCCCATCCTCAATCTTTACCCAAGGGGTTGCGCAAGGAACCGGTCCCGGTCCCCTTCAGTGGCTTCCCCTTCGGGGGATTATTTGTCGGATTGGCCAGATCGAACCAGCTTGAACCGCCCAGAAACGTCTCAGCCGTTTGCTGGTGGCCCATGATCTCAGCCCTGCCCTTCAGGCGTGGTTGCTTGCGATGAGAAGGTTCGCGTGTGCAGCTGCCTGGCACCTTTCGCAGGTGATTTGTTGGGTTGGTGAACCCTTGGGGGGAGGGGGCGTGAACCCTTGGGGGGGGCGCCCCATGTTAGAAGGGAACCTTCAGGTTGATTTATCCAGGGTCAGTCAACATGCTCGAGGAGGGACGTGAAAGCCGAAATCCTGCACCGCCTAAGCCCTGGAATGATGCTTCCCCTGATCAGAACCCCTTCTAAGGTTCCTTGAAACTCCTCTGGGTCCCCCAGTAGTGCCCTTTCACCAACTTTTTTTTGGGGGGAGCTAAAATCGACTACAGAAAAAAAGGTACCCTTATTCTAACCTCTCTAGTGGAGGACCTAGGCCTCTTGGAAACCGAGATCGTTTATTGTTTTTTTCTTCTGCGGTTCTGGTCGGGAACCCGCATGACTTTTAGGGGGGAAAGCGACGGACACCGATTATTTCCATGGGATGCCTTGTGCATCTCGCCCAGGTTTCACGAACGAAGCGACGACTTCTTTGGGCCTCTTGACGGCGTTGGGATTTTGCTGGGCGTCCCCAATCACCCTTCACATGTTGGGCATACTTAGTTGTCTACCTTACAACAGTCGGTGTGAAACTTTAGAAGACTTCTCCTATCTGCTGGGCAGCCCCCCTTCTCACAGGATCCAATCCCTTAACGCTCCCTTGACCCCCCTGAAGCATTCCCGAGGGGGCGAGGGGAGGAGGGGGGGGGTTGGATCCTGTGACCTGGTGACAGGTCTTCTGCTCAACCAGACGGAGGTACAAGATTGGCAGGAGGCCTTTTCTTAGCTGCGTCCATCGGCCATGCTCACCGAGCTATGCTCGAGCCGTGGCTCCTTCTCTTGAGGAGGTACCACTGTTGGCAGGTTTTCAGGGGAAGCCAAAAGGACAACCCACCGCTTTTATGGGGCCCCCTTTGTGACAAACCCATGTGAGAAGCTGAAAAACACATTTCGGGGATGGGAATCAAAGAAGGAAGAACGGAGCTAAGCCACCCATTTGGTTGACCATGGTGCACGGTTGGGCGTCGGCGGCGATTTTCTGGCAAGGGCACCCAGGCACAGCTGATCTTTGCTGTGAAGGCATGGTCTGTCTACCCATTTCGGGCTGCTCTGCCCAGATGTGTACAGTGCTCGCGTTTCAGGGCCTGGATGATGAGGTAGGCCCTCATCACTAGCTCGAGCTGACGGCAAGGTTTAAAAAGGAGCAAGCGGGAGGCGAGGCAGGCTTCTGCTTTTTGCAGATGGCTCAGTGCCCTCCCACCTTTCTTGACATGGAACCTGACAGGGCGTCCTGGAAGGTCATTTTCCCTTGAAACGGAGCCCCGGACGTCAGGCTCCCACGATGCTCCAGACAGGATGGGAACCCGGAATCAATCAACCCCTGGATGATGAATCCCCTCAATTCACAAAACCGGGGTCCACAGGCGGCAGGTCACCCAAACCATGGCTATGTCTTGAACCTGACATGTGCAACGTTGGGCCATTCTGAAGAATATCGCTGCCTCAAGCCGCCGCTAGGCCTCTCTCCCTTGGCGGGCGTTATCTCCGAGACAGGGCCTCAGAGAGCAGTTCCCTTGGCCATGACCCATCCCATGGCCTCCGTTTTTGTACCCTCAGGCTGAAAGGGACACCGCGAAAGGGAAGGCACCATGTCCATTTTGTTGGGGTCCCCTATTTTAGACAAGTACCCGCGTCTACAATCATGGCGCCCTGAAATATGGAACTTTCCAAATTGCTTTTTGGGTGTCGCTTTGCTTGCCCTGGGGACGCACTTTACACTTGTTTCTTGGTAGCTTCCTAATCCTTTAGTTTGGTGAACCAAACAGTGACATGTTGTTTTGCGGGTTGTGCTCAAACATAGGGCAACAGAGCGGAACGCTAAAGAAAACGATGATCAAACCTGCGATCGAGCTCTTGAATGGGTCTGTCTTTCTTTGAGGGTACCCCCTTTTTGTGGTGTTTGAATGGGAGCTAACATTGAAAATCAGCGCTTTCGGGGGTTCCCTAAAACTTGCTGGTGCTCAGTAGGGAATGGCCTTCCCGGGTTTTTGAACGAACCGTCCAGGATTCCCTTCAAGGAAACCCGAGTGGATGGTGTTTCTCGGGGTCTTTCCAGTTCTCATTCCCCGAGAATCAGCAAGAAGACAAGCGGCCCAAATTTCTTGCTGGCGCTCAGTTGGGAATGAGGGAATCAACCTGGAAGTCCCCTTAAAGGAAAGGAAACCATTAGGGGTTGATTCCCCATTCTTTTCAACCATCGTTCTTTTCAAAAACCGATCGCTGTTTCCCCTGGGGTTCTGGTTTTCTGAAAAGATTCGGATCGCTGGAAAGAATGGACATGAAAGTGTCCCCTAGAACAAGGCCTTATTTAGGACCCTCCCCCTCTCCTCCCCCCCAGCCCCCATGCTTAAAGGAAACCACCAGTTGGATGGGTGTTTCTCGGGGTCATTCCATTTCTCCTTCCCCGATTTCGCACCATCCAAAATGCCCGCCAGCAGCCAGATGTTGCCCGCCGCCAGCTGCAAGGCTCCGCTCCGCACGCAGCTATGAGGCGCTTGGCTGCGACCTCAGGCAATGAGTGAGGCGGGGTGGCCGATGATGTGGCTTTGGAGGGTGCTCCGTTTTTTTTTTTTTTTGGGGGGGGGGATTTCAAAGGGGAACCAAAGGGAACACCGAAGTTTCCCATGTTGCGGGTTTTTTGAGGGAACACCCCATATAATATGTGGTGTCTGTGCTGCCGCTTTGGTCTTCGGTGTTTTTTTTTTTTTTGCCTTGCCTCTGCTGGGGAGTGACTGTTTGGTTTTGGCTGCAGAGGGAGCAGCAATCGCAACAGAAGCATCGGCACTAGCAATCACAGCAGCAGAAGTAGCATGGCGGCAGGATGGCAAACGTTTGCCACTGACAAGGGTGGGTGGGAGCTGTCATGATGGGTTGGTGCTGGCTTTGCTGCAACCTGAGATTGAGGCGAGACCATGTGAATTGAGATCGACGGCACGGCGAGGCAACTTGATTGCCCATTCGTTGATTCTGATGGCCTTTGTCATCACCGGATGTCACCGGCTAACTCAGTGTGCCCATTTGCACACTACAGAATGTAAGCATGGAAGCAGTTTTCAAAAATACCTGGTAACACCCAGTCATGCTGGCAAATAGGTTAAAGCCGGGACGGACATTTTGCTGTAGAGCAGTTTCTGTTTCGGAGCAGAGCTCCGCTGTTTTTGCGATGCCGACCGATCGGTTTTTGGAATGGAGTTTGGTCTCGAATGTCGGTCACCCTCGAATGAGGGGCCGGGCAAGCTGGTCATGGCAACCATGCCAGTACATCTCACTCCGCAAATGGCAAAACGCTTCGTGAGGGCAGGTCTCGGCAAGGAGGATACATTTCTCGTTTCGGAAGAGTTGCCAATTGCAAGAAGGTAGCCCCAAAAAGGTATGCGCCAAAAACAAAAAAACGCCCCTTTAAAAGCTATTGGCAACTAGGGGCCAATAGCTTGTTGCAAACAAAGGAAAGGGCTCCTCACAAGGAGAGGCGCCAGTAGTTTTTAATAGCAGAGCCACACTTGGGATCTCAGTCGCCGGGATGTGCCGGGGCCGAAGCCTTTGCTGCAAGGAAAACCGCGCAGGTGCACCGGGTCTCTGAAAGGAGAATGGTCGATGGAAAAAGCACCCGAAATTCCACCTGACGATCAGGTGGTTTCTGAGTGTATCCGTAAAACTGGCACGTTGAGACCGTTCTACGAGGTTAAGCGCATATTTCGAGCTACACGGAACTGGGTTGAATTGAACTGAGGAAAGGTCGGGGAGATCATCGATGGGCGGGAGGCTAGTTGAAGCGTTTGGAAATCAAATCCAGCAGCACGTCGTTTCCGTTGGTTCGCCCAAGCCAGGGGAGCCCGACGCTTTCCGAGCCAGCCTGGCCAACAGCCCGTAGAACCTGACGCGACCGGGAATAGGATTTTTCATACACTGGACACAGTGGACACCCGAGCCTAAGGAAACCAAGAGGCTTCGAAGCATTCGCAGCTTTATTGTTTATATTAGTTGATTTATATATATATATATATGTATGTATGAATATGTTTATTCATTCATTTTGTTTATCGCACTCCTCCTACAGAGGCACGCCTCTTGCTTTCGACCAGAGCCAATCCTTGGGCTTTGTTTCGGTGCGCGTTGATTCTTCCGCTGGCACCGTGGAAGCCGGCGCCATGTTCGAGAGCGTGCTGAATGGCTTGCTGTCCCAATACCTCGAGCCATACTTGGACAACATGGCGCCTCGAACTCATGTGCCTGACCTTTTTGGGTTAGAAAACCTGAGACTTGTCGATTGCAGGCCCTAAACCTGAGACTTGTTCATTGCAAGGCCTCTCCAAAAGTCGCAAAAAAAAGAAGCAAACAAAAAAAAAACATCAAACAACAACACTGCGGCGGTTTTTAAAACACACAATCTGCGGCGGCTTCTAAAAACATCGCAGCGTGTTCGGAGGACAACCTGCGGTTCCGCCTGGGGAAGCTGAGCGCGTCGAACCTGAAGCTGAAGAGCAGCCTCTGCGCCCTGCTGGGCTTCGATGAGCTCGAGCTCCAGGCGCTTTGGTCGGGTCGCGGCCTTCGTCGCAGCCCTGGGTTCATGGGCGGCCTGGTGTTTTTGTGTTTTTTTTTTTGGGGGGGGAGGGGGGGGGGGAGGGGGGTGGGGTCAAGGGGGTCAAGGGCATTTTCAGGTCTGGGGTTTGGAGGGATGGAGGTTATGCACCACTTTTATCAGGAGTAGATGCTACATTGGTGATTTCTCAGCCATCCACACCTCCCAAAACCTTTACCTGAAATGCTCTTTTCTGGGCCCCTTCAAGTGGTCAGCTACGTTTTGAGGGTTCTCACAATTGCCTTGCGGCTTCCCTTCAAGCCTTCTTTTGGAGGGTAATTTTGAGGATGTCACTTTGATGGACTTGGTTGGATGCTTCGGAAGGCATTTGGCGGCTTGTTTGACCTCATATCCTTGGATTTGACCAGCGACCATGCATGGGTGCATTGTAGCCTTCTTGATTTGGCAGGTGTCAAATTGAGCTGGCTACCCCTCGGGGCGGCCGGTTTTGCGTGAATCTCACGAGACCGTGAAACCTCGTGCCTGTTTCTTCGTAATGTCCCTGCACCTCTGCTCTAAGATCAAATGGGTATGTGTCAAAGTTGAACCAGCAGGATATGGACCGCAGGTTTTAGTCCATTTTGCCATTTGCCAGGGCAACCCATTTTGGGGTTACCCGCTTCTGAAGCTACCTAAAGGCAAAGCTCCAAGAAAAGTCCCTCCCGCCAGGCGGGCCATGTGGGGCTTCTCGACATTGAGGTGCCATTCTTCGCCCTGCCTCTTGGCACTGGTTTGTTTGGTCTGCTCAGTGGACGGGTCGATTGTGTCTGCTTCCCTTTTCTGCTTGCTGTTGGGTTTTTGGCAAGTTGGGTGGGGTGGTTCTTCATTGTGGCTTTCTAGCCGGTGAACGAGGCTCAGTGGAGAAAGGGTTCGGAATCCCTAAACTATGGCGCCACGATGGGAAGGGCGTTAAGCAGATGCTCTCGGCAGGATGTGGGTATGTGTCAAATCAGGGGGACCCCAAGTAGCGGTTTTCCTGTTGCTTTTCATTCAGTATGAGTTCAACAGGGTCATGCCAAAAGCTGAGTTGTTACATGGTGTTCGCTTTGCATGGCCTGAGGAAGGTCGAAGATGGCTTAATGTAGCCTAGCGCTACTTCAGTTTCAAAGCAGGAGGAAGAAGACAATCACGGAAAGCAAACGCTACTGAATCACGTTTACATTCAAGACTCAGGTGCGGTCTGAACGTTTCCAGTGTATGCTCATTGTGGGGTGGATACGGGGGACTCAATCAACTTCTTTCACCTTCTCAATGTCTTTCCGGCAAAGCCTAGTTGTTGCCTGCAAGTCGGGGGTGACGTGGAGGGGCTGTATCTCAACACAAGGAACCCCAAAATGGACGGTGTGCGTGTTGAGCATCTGCCGCAGGTTCTCTGGGACCATGAAGGTGAAGTTGGACAAGATGGACATCAAGCCTTTCGGCAGACTGATGTGTCAAGGGGATTTGGGTGCATCTCAAAGTTGATCCACAAATTTGGGATTTCGGTTTTCAGTTGTTTCCCTTCAAAGCCATCCAAAAACAGGCACTAACCCTCAAACAACATACCGCCAAGTCTGCGGCTTTTCGGTTGCTGCATTTTCCCGTCAATTCAAGGTGAACATGCGCCAGACATCGGATCTTTCCCTGCAAACGAACGGAAGGGGTTCCCAATCAGATGGGTGCATTTCCCAAAAGAGTTTCCTCCAACACTGGGTCGGTTTAGAGGTCCCATGTTAACCCGCAGGAGAATACAAGATTGACCTTTCGTCTTTTTGGTTCCCCTGATGTTAACTTTCAACCTGCAAAAGCAACGTTCCACTCCCCATTAATTGATATAGAACTCAAACAGCGCGTCAAATTGCAAGGATATTCTTCTAGTGACGGCTATTGGTCGTGATGTCAACTTGCAGTGGGTTCCAGGGTTGCCCATTTTGGTTGCCTATTTTTATTTAGGTTGGGCGGTCCCTTCGCTTTCCAAGCACTCCCTCATGAGAACTCAGATGCTGATTGCTATATGTTTTTGGGGGGCTCCTTGCTTTCAATTGCGGCGGGGCAATGCAAAGGGCAACAGAACCAACTAACACTGTACCCGCACTGCGCACCATGATCGAATGTTTTAAAGTACCCCAGAACCACATTCTAGTTATTTAGGTCCCATACCCCCATGCCACATATTTTCATATTTGTTTGATGAATGGAAGAATGGAGTTACATTAGTATTACCTTGTGCAACCATTATTCCGGGATCCCCCGCCCACATTCCAGTATTCCATTCATCTTGTTCCATTCATTGCAACTTAAGGGGAAATCCAGTGACCCCTGGGAACGGTGTCCTCAGTTGCCCAAAGCGAATCCACTTTTTGACCTTTGTTTCCTCCGAAACTGGGTCCACGTTTAGGCATGGCCTCAAAAGGTTAACCTTTGCCCTCCCCCAAGCCCCATGATCCAACAATATCCTGTTTTCATGGATGGCCGATGCGATTCGGCTCGATCCGATTTTTCGATTCGACCAGTGCCGAAGCGATTCGACCGATCCGATTCAACTAAAAAACAAATAGTCCGATCACCATGCCATTCGCCCAAGACTTCTTTTTTAGTTTCCCCCCAGTTTGGTCCATGTATCTTTGTGGGTCCTTGCAGCTGATCACCCATTTCCCCCCTCCCCTCCTCACCCTCCCCCTCCACCTCCCACCCCTCCTCCCCTCCCACCCCCCTCTCCCTCCCACCCCCCTTTGCCTCTCCCCCCTCCCACGCTGATCACAGGGTGGTGATCCGGAAGAGCGCGGGCAAGAGCGCCAAGGAGCGCCTGGAGGAGCTGCGGGAGACGCGGCGCCTGGGAGTGGAGACCAAGGCGCCCAAGCCGTCGGACGGCCGTCTCCAGGGGTTAGTTACCCTACGGAAGCCATGGAAAGCACCGGTTTTCCGGTTTTTATTTCCCCTGTGCAACTACCCAAAAAAATAAACTGCCCTACCAAAAAAGTGACGCACCCTTGAACCTGATCTTGGTGGGTCGAAATTCAACCTGGATATCAACAAACAGGTTTTAGTCCTTTACATTTACCAGGCGCAACCCGTTTTGGGGTTACCCTACGAATGACCCACACGCATATTTCTCTTGGTGGCTGAGCATACTTTGGTTTGGGTCAGACTAAATTGTGTTTCCCTTTATGAGGTGTTGTTGAAGGTGGAAATACCCCCTTCCAGGCCCCTCCAATCATGGAAGCTAAAAACTGGAAAGTTGTGACGACTTTCCCTTTGGGGAACCCCTCTGTGTGTTGAAAAGAGCGTAGTCACAACATACAACCCGCAGAAAGCTTGCATGAAAAAAACGATTTTAGGAGAGATGCTCTTCCACGCCAAAACCTAGGCATGCGTTGCATTCTCAATGACATGCCAGTGTCCTTGTTCCCTTTCATCGTGGCAGGTTAAGGGTGTTGAGAATAAGGTTTTTGCTGACATGGTCATGGCCATGTCGGGTGGCTATGCTACAGTGTTGGCTCCCTGGGCGAAAGTGGGGCATCTGATTGAGGAAGGCCGCCTGTTACAAGCTGTACCCTTCGCCTCGGCGCAAGGGCGCGCAGGGGCCAGGTAGGCAGACAATGGTTCCCAGTTTCGACCAACAGGTGGCTGTCAAGCAAGCATAGTGGGGAAACCAACCGTGGCAGACTCAACCACGTGTTCGTCGTGAGTCACTAGCCACAAGGTTGTCTGAACCACTTTACCACTTGCCAGCAGTTGGCAGGTGGTGTCTCCCAGTATTCATGGGCTGTCATCCGTAATTCGCAGGTGCCCGGCGGTGATTTGATTCGTCCATCCACGCCTGGTTGCTGACCACTTCCTAACCTGGCGGAACCAACAAAGGATTCAAGCTTAATTCAGTTTACTGGATTCTCCGCACATTTGTCCACATGTTTCCAACCTCCACACTTGTTGGATTTGTCCCAATTTCGTGGGGCCTGGAAAGGGAGGGGAGGGAGCCCAAACGAGCTCTTAAGTCCATAATACGGCTTTATTTGGGCTCCATCCTTCCCCCCCCCCCTCCCTCCCCAGAACCATCGGTTAAGAATTCCTTTACTCCCTCCTTCCCCCTCCATCCCCCCCCTCCTTCCCTCACTCTCCCCACCCCAGCCCCCACGCCTCCTTCCCGGAAGAGGCTGCCCAGCAGCTGGAGAACCGGAAGCACCAGAAGCTGGTGGAGGCGGCGCAGCAGAAAGGCGGGAGCTCAGAGCAGCGCGGCGGTGTTCGTTTTTTTTTTTTTTTTTCTTTCCGGGGGGGGGGGGGGTGAGGGACACTTAGGGTCTGTTTTTTTTTTCATCTTTTTGTTCTTTTCGTGGGGGGGGGGTATGATGGACACTGAATGGGTCTATTTTGCAACCTTCTTCATTTATTGGTTTTTCTGGGCTCCAGGCTGCAAAATAGACTCTAAGTGGGGTGAGGGACCGGGGGGGGGACCCAAAAGAGATCAAACGGGTATGTTTTGGATGCCCCGTGTTTTTGTTATCTTCTTGTTTTTTTTTTTTTTTTTTCCGGTGTTGCTTTGAGACAACCTGAAGAGGGTGACCTCAACCAAAAAGCATCCCAAGCAAGTCTGTGGCAAGGATAGCTTCAATGGGGTCCATGTTCAAATTTGCAGGGTGACAGGAGGTTTGTTTGAGCATGAGGGAACTCTTGTTTTTTGGTCTAAGAGCACCATCATCAAAAGACGGGTGGCTTTGACAATTGCAATGGAACCTGCCCGTCCAGGCCAAGAGGTGAGCGTGAGCATGGTGGCGAAGGTGTCGCGGCAGTTTATCTCCAACGTGCTCATTGAGATGTGCGGCTCGGCTTTCGGCTTGGACGCTTGGGATCTCTCGGGAGCTTGGCCTTTGTGGGCAGTTTTGGAAGGTGCCTTTGTTCAGGAATCTTTGGGATGATTTCAGATGTTGTATTTTCATGTGTGGGTTTTCTTGAGCTTTCTGATCCGTTGGTTCCTGCGTTTCGTTTCCGGAGCGCCGACGAAGATTTGTTCAGGCGACATGGCCGTGGGGGTGTCGGATCCAGAGACGGGCGCCAACGTGAACGTGGAGCTTCGGGCACTTTTTGCCAGAGCCCCTGATGAGGAGGACGCGAGTCGCGCGAGTCGCGACCTCCTTTCTGCCTCCGGTTCCTGGCAGAATGGCTTGGTGTTTTTCTTGGATGGATTTTTCAGACCTTGCCGCCGTAGTGTGTTTGCCTGTATGGCCTTTCTGTACAGTCAAACTGTTCGAATCCCATTCCTATATATGTTCAACATGTTGTTGAAGTAGCAGGCGTAACCACTCGAATTTGCCAGCTGATGTGAACCGGGTGATTTCTGAGTGTATCTCGTGGGGTTCTTGTGGGAAACCGTGTTAGCTCGACCTTTGCCTTACAATGGAAGAACCTGCGCCAGGAAATTGTGGTGCCCCTGACATTCCTGTAGCCACCCCAAAAAGTGTGTCCAGAAACACAAGTTTGGGAAAGGACCACCACCACGTCTTTCATGACATGCGTCCAGTTGCGCTTGAGCACACAACACCGAGCGTGCAACCTCCTTACGTGCAGCTTTTGCACTTGCTATTGCCGCCATAACTGCCATGAGTGCCCTCTAGGTCGGTAGTGTCCGGTCATTGCATCCATTCGGTTCATATCCGGTCCAGTGACGAAACTCAGGCGGCGCGAACGTTGCCCACGGTTGTTTTTTCAATCGGAGCCTCGGTTTGCTCGCCGGCTTCCGTCAAGGACCACCTAGCTAGGTGGGCAGGTACCGCCCTAACAGTGGCAAGAGAACAAGCTGGACACCGATTCTCGTCTGTTTCCGCATTGTACCATGGTGTTGTGGCTCAGTTTCACCTCATTGGTGGATTGGTTTGGTGCTCTGAGAATTGGAACCCCTGACTTTGGTGGAGGGCAACTGGGACACCACCCCCGGATGACTTAGCCCCCCCTCGTAGGAAGTGGCGGCCGCCACGTCTCAGCACCTGGAAGAGGAGAGCTCGCAGGCCCAAGCCGGGGGCCCAGCGGAGCGAGCGAGCGAGCGAGCGGCGTTGGACCAATGTGTTGACATGGGGCTGCAGCCCAGCATGTCACGCATTCTCTTGTCTTACCTCTTAAAAACACAATTTTTCAACTTGTTGGGTAACATGGGCTATATGTCTGTAAAAGATTATCTTCCCCAGGGCTTGGAGTTTTAGGGGTAAGTTTTCGAGAAGCTGACAGTGTGCTGCCCTTGGTGATCGGATGGTTTTGCCGGTTTGTTCGGGTTTTGCGGGATGCCAGGCATTGGGGATTGGTGGATTTGCCGGGGCTTGCGGAAGCCTAGTCTACCAAGCCCAAAGGCCTGTTGCCATGTCTCATGGGCCAGGGGAAACCACCTTGTGGTGGGTGGGAAGCTGACCAAATGCGTGGGGGACCTGTTTGGATCGAATCGATTTGTCGGCAACTGCCACGAGGCCCTTTTTGAGGCTGTCTAAAAGGGAAACATCGCAGCCTTCAGCAGGCCCCTTTCAAATGACCTAGGCTTCCTCAGCCTCAAAGCATCCCTCAAAGTGCGGCGTTGACTGAGCCAACTGAATTGTTGAGCTCGTCCACCTTCACCAGGACCCCAGCAAGCCCAGAAGGGTTGAGAGCTTTTCTAGGGGACGCTTCCCCATTCTTTCTGGGGATCCTTCTTTCCAGAAGATGATCAGAACCCCAGCAGAACCCCAGGGGAAACAGCGTTTTTTTTTTTTTTAGAACGATGGTTGACAAGAATGGGGAATCAACCCCTTGAATTGTTTGTTTCGTCGCCCCTGCTGCAACAAAAATGTTGAGCCTGCCGAGGAAGAGGTGAAGGTCGCGAAGGCACGGGGGCTGACGCGCTTGCCATGTTCTTGGCTAGTCCTTGGAATGAGTAGCAACGACTCGCCAGCATTGCCGGGGAGTAACGCGCTACTGGTGCCCCACCTCTGAGCTCTCTATTGTGGCAGGGGAGATTGTTGGGGAATGGAATGAAGCTATCAAGCTATGAAACTATGAAGCAAAATGAAGCAAAATGAGGGAATGGTCAAAATGGATTCCTCTTAAGCCACCCGAAGACCCTGCTGTTTTTTCCCCGAGAGCATCCACCCGGGACCCTCGGCGAGCAATCTCATTCACAATGAAGACCTGGGAAGTTTGGGAAGGGTGGGGGACAGTCCCAGTCACAAACGGGGAAGTCAACGCAGAGAACCTGAGTCAAGGAACTCCAAAAACCAAACGCGCAACAAAGCTTGAAGAAGACCAAACAAACAAAACAACAATCCTCCAGACAAAAGGTCCTGGCCCCACCTCCGACATTTGCCTCAGGGCTTTGCGTATTTTTGTTGTTTTGTTTCCTCGTACAGAGGGGCAAACTTTTCGAGGGAGCGCGGGTTAGGTAAGACTACAAAGATAGACAAACGCAAAGAGGGATCAGCTGAGGGAGGTTTGCATTTTGACACAGGATGCATTGCCCCTTGTTGTTATTTTGTCTGTATAAAACTGGGATAATTTAAACCCAGGGTCACTTCCAACTAAGATATTCAGGGCTTTCCGCAGGGGGGCAAATCGGATGTCCGCAAGAACGAACCAACGGAACGTCCAATGAACTTTCCCATGGTGTCCTGGTTTACCAGGAGAGTACCATTTCTCAGGAGGTTTCTCTTAAGTCTGGGTTGTACCCCCAACACATCCAAGCGCACCAAGCACGTTGTCAGCTCCATTCAGGTCCCTTTTCATTCTTGGCTTGGGCCTAAACCCAAAACGAGCTTGGTGGACCAACAAAGGGTGTGGTCCCCTAGAGTACGCCACCTCTCGCGTGAGTTGGCCGGCTGTTTTTGATGCGGACGTCTTGTATAAGTTTGAATCGAAGAAGCTGAATCTTGCAAACAAGCTCCTACCTCACAAGGCGACAACAAAAGGAAGCCGCCAATTTGGGTGAATCGGTTTCCCCCATAAAAACAGACCCCCCCGCCGCGGAGATCGAGCGCTTGCCGCGCGTTTCCGGGCGAGGCTTTGGGCTTCGAGAAGTTTGTGATCAGCGGGGGCTTCAAAGAGGTCACCCCCATTGTGAACCTCCAGAAGTTGCAGGCGATGCAACTCCCGCGGTCCCGAACCGGGAACCGGGGCCCCAATGGGGGAAGTGGGAGCGGGAACTGGGTGGGATTTTTTGGTTCGAGTGTCCAGTGGCGGTTTTTAGGTCCCGGAAAGCCGGGACAACTGGAGAAAAATGAAGGGCCGCTGGTATTTGAGAAGGTCGGTTTGGGATGAACCGGGCTGTTCAAAGGCAATACGCAAGATCCTTATTGCGAGAGGCGCGCAAGGATGTGGTCCAACAAAAGGAACTCTGCCTTTGGCAGTCTCACTCGAGAGGCAATGGAGGGATATATTTTCCTGCCCCCCTTCACCAAACGAACAAACATCCGCATCAAAACAAAGAGAAAGGTAAAGAAAGAAAGAAAGAAAGAAAGAAAGAAAGAAAGAAACAGACCCTAGCTGGTTGCGATGTGTCCAAAAGCCCCCTAGACCTGTTGAAAACTCAATGGCTCTTCCATGAAACCACAAAAGGGCAGTAAAGGGTACGGCTGTACAGGTGGTCCTGCTGCAGAAGCAGGGCAAAATGCAGCTGGAGTTTAGCATCGGCGAGCAGGGCTCCGCCCAAAACGACTACGTGCGCCTCTGCTTGGCTCAAAAGACGGAGGAGTCGATACCCAAAAGCTGATACCAAAGGAGTCTGGCCAACATATTGGTGGGTTTGTCAAATTTCGGGCCCAGATGGAGGTTTCCACACAGTTTGTCTCAATATATCTCAATATCATGGGACCAAGTGATTTAATAACAATAACAGTAACATGTTTCCTTTGCGGTTTCCCTTAGCCGTTTCAAGGCAACCCAAGGGTCACCCATACACCGAATGCAAAGTGCGGCCGCAGCGGCCGCAGCTACGTGGCTCAGACATGGCACATGCATTCATCAGCTGCACAGGGTGTAGAATGGTGTAGAAAGAGCATCAGGACAGGTTAAAGGGCTACAAAAGGGCTGAGGGCGGGTTGTACGTTTCAGTGTAGGGGTCGGTATAGAACAATTTATCAAAAGCAGACGGAGGTTTATGATGAATTTTGGATGTGTGTATGAGGGTCGAGGCAACTATTCGACAATGCGTGTTGTTTTTCGCGTGTACGCTTGCTTTCTTGGAATACGCACGCGCCAAGGTCGCACATATGTCCACTTGTTGAAACCGAGGATACGCTTTTTGATAAATTCAGTTCAAAGGGAACCCTATTTCTCGTGGGGTCCAAATATCCTACTTTGACATACTTTGACATATGCTACCCATTCGGCAGTTTCTCAAATGTCAGATTTCCTTCTCGGTGGTATTTGAGGGGAACCAAAAGGAAAGCGCCCGTGTTAGGAGATCGACTCCTCCTTCGAGAAACACCCGCATAAAATCCCTGCAGTCATAACCGCCTGGTTGATCCATTGGGGGGGGGGTCCCGATTTAGTGCACACATCACTTTTGGAGGGACAACCTGCCCCCAATTCACGGGGACCCTCCAAAATTGTGGTTAACGCAACACAGCTGGGTTATCAAAAAGTGACAGGCCCATTTTGACCAAGCCCTCGCGCCGATCGCCGGCCCAGGGCGTTGTGTTCCCAGCAGATCCGGGCGCTGCTGATGCTGTCGAACGCCCTGGGCGAAGAGTCCCGGAGAATTCAGGCACATGGATCGGTCGATCGCTCTCCGCGGGTGTTTTAGCGAAAACCGAATGGATGCTCTGGCAGTAGAAGCAACGTTTGGATGGGATTGAATGGGATTCGATTTCTTCCGTCTGCTTAGCATATATATATATATATTGTTTTTTCCCCAGCTGTTGGTTTGATGTTTAGACACAGAATGCAGTTGTGTTTTCTGGTTTTCTTATGAAACAGATAAGCCATGCTTGTTGCAGGGAAGTTGGGTGGGTACACATCTGGGTACACATCTTACATTAGGATTGCAGAAGCTTGTCGCAACCAAAATGTACCACAAATCGCTGCCCTAAGAAAGCAGCAGTTTTCACCGGTGCGAGTTGCATGTTTATGCCCACCGGTGACCACAGTTTTGCACTTCATTCGGGCTGAGTGAAGGTAGCTCAATGTTTCCAGTTGCCATGGTGACCTGCCGGGAACTATTGCACCCCACACTCCCTTGGTGGCCTGCTACAAAATGTTGACCCCGGGTTTAAAGAACATTCGGACTGAAGTGGGGTGTGTTGATCCCTTCAAAGTGAAGGATCCCCTTTTACATGGAAGACCCCTATTACTCAATCCTGGGTGTTTTTTGATCCTGTGGCAAGCTGAAGCAGGCTTGCATCTTTGCGAGCTCAAGTTGCTTCCCTCTGAATGTTGGCTGGAAGTGCGGCGATGCATGGGGCCCCCCTGCTCTCCCCGCCCCTGCTCCCTGCTGGCTCAAAACCGCAACCACCAATACAACCCACCAACTCAAATTTGCCTGACCTACGGACTAGGCCTAGGCGCAAGCCGCTGGGAGAACGTAGTCACATTGCAAACGGTTTGCGGGTTCTCAGCAGCTCTGCTGAAAAACACGCTGCCCCGCCCCCCCCCCCCCCCCGACAAAGACGGGAATTCAACACGTCGCCTTTCCCAAATAGAACTGGTGGGATCCCGCATTCCAGCGCTCGTGCATGGAAAGGTATCCCGCAGATTCCTCCGAGTTTTTGATGCAGCAGAGCCGAGACACTCACAGTATTTCCAACAGCTTGGGTGGATGAAATTGGGGGGAGGGGTGCTCAAGAAGGCAACCAACCAATTGTAGGGGTCCCACTTTGACCAAATACCCATACCCACCCGAAAGCTGCATATATATTTCCTATTTACATACGTACGTGCTGTGTTAAGCTGCATGTATGCATCTAAGATGTATTCACATATGTATATATATATATATTTCCAGAAATGTGTGTATGGCTGCATGTGAAGTTGAGGCGGGCTGGGTGCTTCGTGAGCATTTTTTAGGGTCTCCCTCCATTTCCTTTTCGGAACCTTCAAAAGTGTCAATTTCAATGCAAACCAGAAAGTAACATGCAACCTTTAAAGGGGAAATCCAGTGACCCCTGTTTTGGAGGGGTTCGCACAATTTCTCGTGGCAGTTTCCCTATGAGGTCGGTCACTTTGAGGTGAGCCACTTTTAAACCACGTGTGATCTCTTTAGGCAACCAGGAAAAAAGCAAGTTTTAGCGCTTGTCTTAAAATAGGGGAACCCCCAAAATGAGTGGTTCTTTTGCGTGTCCCTTCAAACACCCCCCCTCCCAAAAAAGGGTACCCTCAAACAAAACGAGCCACCCATTTTCATGTCTTATTCAAATGGTCGTGGCATTACCCAGGCGCTGCTGGCACCGCCGGATGCGAAGCAGTGGGTGAATTTGAACACCAAGGAGGGTATACAGGCCGGGGTGCATTCGCACACGCGCAGCCAAACCCTCTGAATGGGGCCATGTCTTACAATACATGTGTTGTGTTTCGTGTGGTTTCCCTTGAACGCGACAAGAGGAGAAAGGTACCCTCCAAAAGAGACAAGGCCATATCCACCAAGAACCCTGAAAGTTGACAGGAGGGTTTTGGAAGGCGACAATCCTTTTGGCGAAGCTCCTTGCACTTGCATGATTCGCAAGATACGTTCTGCAAATTGTGTGGCAAGCGAACCTTGGAACAAAACAACTGGCCCCATCACGGGGATTGTTTAATGTCGGTTGCGGAGTTTAGAGATGAGTGAAGAGTTTTTTTTTTTTTTTTTTTTTTTTTTTTTTTTCGGGGCAGGAGTTTCAACCGTTTTTTTTCTTTCTTCGGCAAGCCATTCTCCAACAAAACAAGAACGGCGGCCTTGTGCCAAGTGGCCCGGAGAGCATTTTCGGAGATGTCCTGAGACCTGCAAGTTCAGAGCCCTCGATTCTGTAGAGCTTCCATCAAACCACCGGGCATGGATGTTGGTTTGGAGGTCGGGGGGTGTGTGACTTCCAGTTGCGAAAGGAAACTCCGACATATGAGTTGCCTCTCCTGGCTCCATTTCGGTTTGAAAAAGGCCTGAGGTCCCATGGCTGGCAAGTCCGCAACCCGTCAGATGCCATTGCTCCGCGAATCACAGACCATGATCTGCAGGGGGGTACGGCGGATGCCCTAATGTTGCAAGTAAACCAACCACACCACAAAACATGGTAACATGCAGACAATTGGAGGGCTTCCAAGCAATATTCGGCGCTTGAACCAGAATACTGAGCCCCAAGAAACAAATCCTAAAAATCAGTTTTTTTTGGAAGAACGGATCCCCACTTGTCATGGTTCATCAGGGTCGCATTGCCAGGGTGATTTTTCAAATCGTGACTATTAAAGGGTAGCGCTGATACCTTGGCTGACTTTAATCTGGTGGAAAGACCATATCAGTGGCAAGCTAGAAGTGTCGACTTTTTCGGGCCAATCCACTGGGCATAGGAGCTTTGCAAAGGCAAATTGAAGGTCTTGTGTGGCCTAGAAAGAATTTCGTCACCCCTCACGCCACTCACTGTTTCTTTTGTTCACCAGAGTTTCCATTTACCAGTGGACCAGAGTTCCGGTTTGGGTACCCTCCCTTCCACTAACATGGAACCTGAGTGAGTCGCGGAAGACCATTTTCCCGAAAAACTGGGGCCCTCTGGTGGGTTCCATGTTGGACAGGAGGGTACACTCCCTCAGACTCACGTGGAAGCTGACAGGAGGAGGTTGGAAGACTACTTTCCTTTTGGGCAACCCCTCTGTCCACTTCCATGTTTGTTGCCGGGAGGGTACCAATTTTTGACCCATAGCTGGGGTTTCTGTTGAAGGGCGGACAAACGCCACCGCCACCCCTGCGGACTCCAGGCGGCGGACCGCGAGCTTTTGGGCGCAAAGGGGCGGAGCCAGGAGAAATAGACGAGGAGATGCAAATGCAGAAATAGATTCAATCAATATACATATATATATATATATGTATATATATATATATGTATGGAGAGAGAGGGAGAAAGAGAGAGTGACAGCGAAAAAGAGAAAGCGCGAGAGAGAGAGATGTATCGTTTCGCATGATTTGCATGCCAATGCCTTTTGTGAGGGTACCCTTTTCGGGGATGCATAGAAAGGAAGCTGAAAGAACATTGACCTTTTCGGGATCCCCTATCTTGAGATACATTTGAATGTACTCTTTTTTCAAGTGGACGTAAGAAGTGCAACCTGATTTAAAGTGGCATCATGGTTGAATGCTCCATTGGTTTCTTAAAGGGGGTGGTGGGGTAGAAGCCCCATCGGAGATCGTGGGAGGTAATCCGGGGAACCTCAGCTGAAAAGGTTTCCTACCGACAGGGTTTTGCCCGGAAGCCAAAGTCATCGAAAGGGATGCCCGGAAGCGTATCCTGCAAAATGATGCGTATCCGAAAATGAAGGCAGCCCGATATTTTTTTCAGATCCAAAGAAGGCTTCTCCGAGCGGTGGGTGGCCAGAATCCAACTTGACATTTTTCTCGACGACTTCCAGGCTCAGTTCATTGGTTTTGCCACAGCTCTATCGCGAAGTCAACAAGCCCTGCTGTGTCAATGTTGGGACGCATGAAAGCATTGGATAACCCTGACCCGCACCCCCGGTTGAAGGGTTCCTTCCCTTGGAGCTGTTGTTTGACCGGTGAAATGTTGACGGCTTGCTGTGCTGTAAGCCGTTTTGTTTTGTTTTTTTGGTGAAGTGTTCTTACCCTCCTACAAATGAACATGGAACTCAGAAAGGGGTCCCCCAAAAGGTGATTCCACTAAGAATGGTGGGTGTTGGGGTTTCAGAAGCAACGACTCAGCAAAGTAGGCTGGTACTCGAGATGCGCGACGTGCGTGAAAAGAGAACAGCCGAACGCCTCGGCGGGCAAAGCTAACCCCTGCAAGTGACTTGAGGTTCTGGGAGGAGGCGAGACCCAGTCCTAAAACTCCAATCGCCAGGGAAGCTACCAAGCACAGCGGGTTCAAGAGCCTAGGTGTCCTTTGTAGGTGAGTGCGTTTGCTTGGGTAGAAATAGATGGCACTGGCTTAGTCTGGTTTTTTATTCCGTTCAGCGCGGCATCTATTGTTCCAAACGGTCACCTATGTTCAAGAGGCTTGGTACAGGCTGCCCGGGCTTTGAAGCGATCCATTGGGACATGAAGCTGCTCAAGCAATCACAATTTAAGTGGGATGGGTAACCCCAAGGACTCTGCCCCATCCCTTCGGATTGGACACATGGGGGACTGCGCAGGGAAAAACATGGAGAGGCCCAAGATCAGGCATGGGCGCTGAGGTACGTGCACCTTGCCCGGAGATGGTATCGGGAGGAGTTGTCCGTGGTGAGCGGGACAAGATTGCAGCCGTTGTCTGCGCCTTTGCTTGGTGTGGATGGCCGACATTTGATGCCCAAATTGGTTTGTCTTAGGATACAAGCACCCAGAATCAGGTTTGTTCCTCCCCTTTAAAGAACCAACACAAAAATTGTACCCTCAAAGATGGCTGTCGCTCGTGAGACTCTTTCGCCTCCAATTTCGGACCTCTTGCTTTGCCCCTACGGTGATGGTAGGCGATGGTGCAGTCGGGTGAAAGGGGGGCCATTGCCTCCCATGTCTTGTCATCCGCTGTACTTGCCCGCGGGAAGGAAATGGTGTTTATTTCCACCCTGGCGTAGAACAAATTGAAGTGCTCGGTTGAGCATTGGCCAAGAAGGACGCCCAAAGGACCCCAACGAACGAAGAGGAAAGAAGCTCAAGAGAGGGACAAAACCAGGGGTGCCGCCATGGGCGTTTCTGAGCCACTCAAAGGGTCAATTCAACTTCATACCTCTTTGGGACACCTTTCTTAGGTCCTTTTCGGGTTTGTCAGGTTCCGTTTTGGTGCCCTTTGGCTCGCCCTTTGCAGCTGAGGAGAAGGACGATTTCCGGCTGCAGCTCATGCGGGACGTGGTGCCGCTGCCTGTGCAGGCGGAGTGGTTCATGCCGGTGCCGCGGAAGAAAATTGGGATATTCAGGGACGGGTCTCAAGCCAGGCTGGGTTTCATTTGGGCCATGGGTCAGAAGCCAAATCGGTGAATTCGCCCCAGTGAACATCCGATTCAATCCAACCACGAAAATAGGTTCGAAACTGGGTGGTGAATTCACCTACCAACCAAATTGGTACCATTGGTTTTGACCCACAGCCATTTGGCTGTTGTCAAAAACGTGGTTCCCAAAATTTGGTTGTCAAACATAGGGCAACCTAAAAATGAGCTGCCCTGGCGAATGGAAGCATGGACTAAAGCCTACTGTCGACGATCCAGCGGTTTTGATTTTGACCCACACCTATATTTTAAATGCTCTCAAATCGCGGCATTTTTTCTCAACCCAATACTTCAGAATGATGCCAGTCCAGTTATCTCAAGAAGTAAAAGCCTTTAAAGGCCGACCCTGCCCCCTTCGATGATTTAACCTCCGCTCCAGCGCATGGCCGGAGAGGTGAGGGGTGCGCGAAGTTGGTTCAGATAAACAGGGACTTCGCTCGTTCAAAGGGACAACCTAGCTGACTGCGCAAGGCAGGAGAAGCTCAAACAATGAGTGGACCCTGTTGTTTTCCCTTTGAGGCCTACCTGAAAAGGGTACAGAGCCTCAAACACACACACACACAGAGAGTCCCCTTTGACTGCCGTTCGGACATTGGGCCTTGCGGGCGGAATGAAAACGCCAAGCCGTTCCATATCGTCAGAATGGCCGAAGGCACGCTCAGAACGCGCGTTCCATTTTTCGAAGCGACACTTTAACCCATGGCTTCTTGGGCCACGAGCTGAGTCTAAGTCAAACACGAGAGTAAATACTTTTAGTACTCGGTATGGATGAACATGGAACTCCAAGACTTTTGAATAGACGTTGGCAACAATGCAAAGGGTTCCCTGAAAATCTATGGCACACAGCCTTGCTTTTGATGCGTGGCCACATGGGACCATTCAGGCCCGTGGGGCGTCAATGCCACCCTACAATTTACATGGTGCGCGAAGGAAGATGCAGAAAGAAGGAGTTTTGCTATTAAGGGGGATGTGGGGGAGTGGTCCTAAAAGAGGGGGATTTCCCTGGCAAACTTGCCTTGCTTTGCTTTTAGTACCCCAAGCTTTCAACATTTGTTTGTTTGTTACCTTCATTTCCTTTCAACATCCCAAAAGGGGTTCCATTCTTTGGATACTTACTGTCTCAATTGGCGGTGCTTTTTGGCGATGCCTGTCACACTTTACCGCGATTTGGGGCTGTGATGAGTTGTTTTGGGATGCCAACCTCCTCTGAGCTGACATGTAGCCATAGACACGGGAATCCCACCTCGATACGACAAACAGAACACCCTCAGCAATGGAAGGGGGTGCCCCCCAAAAAGCATGGTTGAGGTTCTTAGGTCGATCTGGGTCAAATCGAGGATTCTTTTCATTAGCCGGGTCTGGTATACCTCCCAGCCTATGTGAGGCAGGCGGTGAAACGGGGGGGGGGGAAGCATGTGGGAACCCACATCTTGCGAGGTCCTGAAGGCCTCTTCGGCCAACCCGAGCCCAAGGAGGGTTTTGTCGCATGGTTCGTGGCGCATTTTGGCTCTGAACCATTTGAACCTAAGGTCATGGAAGAGTTGCTGCTGGCAAGAGCTGTGGAGAAGAAGAAACACATGGCCTGGCATAAGAAGATGTTGCAGAACTGCGCTTGCTGGGGCGAGGACGGGACGTCGGGACATGGGGCAACAAATGCGTGGTTGACTTTTGAATGAGCTGCATGCAACGCCCCCCGCACTCGGTTGACAAAGCCGGGGGTCATTTGCCCGGGCCATCAGCCGTTGATATGCTGTTCTCAGGTTGCCCTGGAAGAATATCATGCTCTAGCCGCTATAGCCTGTTGGGCGGCTTGGGCATGGGGTACGGGCTTGTTGGTGTTCGTGAGGCCCCCGTACCCTCTTGGCCAAAACGCGTCATGTTGCCTCCATGTTGGGGAATTCTTGGAATAGCTCTAAGGTGACCTTCGAAATGCCCACTGAACAGGGGGGATCCGACATATTCATCAGGGAGCCGCACATGCGGGAGAGCTGATCCGTACAGTCAGGTGTCAGAGTTCGCTTGCAAAGGCTTCTTTTGGGTGCGAATCAACGTATCCAAGCGTTCCCCCATGTGGAATCTGATAGCCCCAAACCACTGGGTGTCAGGGATCGCGGGGGCAAATATCCTTATGGCCAGCGCAGCTCGTGGCGAGAAGCCAGAACCACCGTGATGGCATCTTTGTGCATGTGCATGTGCATGTGCGGTGGGGCAGGGTTCGGTTGAGATGTTGGGTGAAGATAATCACATGTGGAGCGCCAATGGTTGAAACTTCACTGGTGGTGCTGGCCATCACTACTGTAAATCAAGACAACACTGCTGGGGGTCCTAATTAACTGCCTACCTGGCTCCTATAGTATGTGTGGTTTCGTTGTTGCAGCCCTTGAGGCAAGCTCGAAATGAGGAGGATCGCTCTAAAAAGGAACGAGCCCCTATTCATCAGCGTACTTCAGTCATGAATGGGCAGCCGCCTTTGGCTTTGATCATCTAGGAATTTGTTCCGTTGCGCTGTGCGCACAGGGTTTGGAGCCGGGTGGGGCTTTTCTTGACAAAAAGGGGGGGCAACTCTACGACTCAAAACCACGCCCCGTTGAATGTTCACCTTGGCGTACCCTTTGGGCTGGGATTAACAAGTCCCAGCCTGCGAGGTTCCCTTTAACCTCTGTGCGTGTGTTTTGTCGAGGCCCTTTTCAAGCTTTTTGGAGAAGCCAAATGTAAAGCCAGACATTTTGGGATCCGGGATCCTTCCATCCGGTGCCCCTTAGTTGCTTTAGATTGGTTTGGGGATTTAAACCCTTGGCTGTGGTGGGTGAACGGGGGTTTTCCCCTCGTAAACCACCGGATGTCCAAACCACCCTTTTTTGAAGGAAGCTGACTTGAAACAAGCCATTAGGGGACCAACACCGTGTGCAAAACTCCCAGTTAGGATCCGATTCGAGGGAAGCTGAGAAAGGCTTCCCCCCCGCACCCAGCCCCATCCCCACCCCCCCCCCTCCCCCAACCCCCTCCCCCCTCCGCCCCCCACCCCGCCCCCGCCGACTCGAGGATGAGAAGAAGGACCCCCAGGAGTTGGTGAAGACCATGTACGACGAGGCTGAGGCGCGGGAGCGAGCCAACACCGAAGTGAACGGGGGCCAGAACGGGGAACTGGCAGATACAACACACACACACACATCCATAATATATATATATATATGTGGGTGTGGCTCAAAATTAAACAGGAGGGGTTACGCAGGTTTTAGTCTTTGGTTCCATTTACCAGGGTTCCATTTTGGTACCGGTTTTTTGAGCCATAGCCATGTATGTTAGTTTCAGTATATCAGCATATTCGTATGATACATATATACGTGTATATATATATATATATAAAAGACGTATGTATATGTGTTATGTGTGTGTTATCTTATTTGCATACATACACGTAACTAACACTTAGCCGTTAGCCGCTATATAACGGGTACTCATATCCCTCCTAGAGGGTGGCTTGGTGGAAATTGTTTTCGAGAAGCGGGCCAGCAAAGCTGTTGAAGCTTGAAGCTTAGGGGGACTGTCATCACTAGCGATGGCTCGGGATATCAGCCCTTGTGATTCCTTCCAAGGTTCATTGGTAGGCGATTCAATGCCAGGTGTCCAGGTGTTTGACTCGGTCTCATGAGCAGCTTCCGCCAGCCATCCTGAACAAGGTGACGTGCTTTTCTCCCGGTCCAAACGTGGAATCCGAGCGCTGGCAGGATTTCATGATGGCTGGTTTTGGACCTAAGGCTCCCAGCACCCCAAACGACCGAGTCCCAAGTGGGGTATGAAACCACAAGCCAGCTACACAAGCGGTGTATCATATATCCCGATTCCCGTAGGGTATGCGGAGAAAGCAAACAAATGAAGACGGCGAAACTACCCTCCCACCAATTAACATGACACCTGACGGGGGGGGTCCTGGAAGAGACCATTTTCCTTAAAGGGACCCCGAACGTCAGGTTTCTCATGTTCATTGGTCAGAGGGTAACGTAAATTTCCGAACCCGTGGTAAAGCCCAGAGTCCCCAGCCCATTTTCCTTTTAACGGGATCCCCTGTCAGTTTTCCATGTTCGGTCGAGTAATGCCGTGAATTTCCAAACCCGTGTTTTCAGCCCCGAGTGGCCAGGGCCTGAAGGACGTGAATGTGCCGAACGACATCTCCGCGGAGCTGAAGATCGGCAAGCTGCAGCTCCGTGTGGCCAACAACGAGGAGCCGACGGATCGATCCGAGTCAAAGGAATCGGTGTGGCAAGGGAATCCCAGAGGAAAATGAAAATCTAAATCCGTCCCCCCCCCCCCCAAAAAAAAGAAAAGAAAAACGGGCAGGAGGGGTGGGGGGGTGTGGGTGTGTGTGTGTGTGTCTGTCTGTCTGTCTGTCTGTCTGTCTGTCTGTCTGTCTGTCTGTCTGTCTGTCTGTCTGTCTGTCTGTCTGTCTGTCTGTCTGTCTGTCTGTCTGTCTGTCTGTCTGTCTGTCTGTCTGTCTGTCTGTCTGTCTGTCTGTCTGTCTGTCTGTCTGTCTGTCTGTCTGTCTGTCTGTCTGTCTGTCTGTCTGTCTGTCTGTCTGTCTGTCTGTCTGTCTGTCTGTCTGTCTGTCTGTTGTGTGTGTGTATATATGTCTATATATATATATATATCTATGTATGTGTCTGTGTGTGTATGTGTGTATCACGGGTGCCCTGTTTGGATGGTTGTTTGAAGGAACATGTGTTCCACGTGTCCATCCAAAGGTCCGTTTTTCTCTTTTTCCGATTTTAGGGTGGGCGCCTGCCCCAAAAAATGGGCGCCAGGTAGGGTTCGGGCGCCTCGCAGGACGACATTCTGCACACATCGCTGGACGGCGTGGACGTCGCGGCCCTGATTCAGCAAGCCGTCGGGAGCCCCAGCTCGCGGTGACGGATCAGGCGGGAAAGGGCAAGGATCAAAACCCAGTTGATTTACAGGGGTGCCCTCCAAAAGTGGTTTGATTCCTTCCCAAGCCCGAGGACACCTCCCCCTACTAGACTGGGTTGATCAATATGGGACGTGACTCCTTCAATCGCACAACAACGACAACAAGTGCAGTAGCAGCAGCAGGCAACAACAACCACCAGTAGCAACAACAGCAACAACCACGACCACTAGAACAGCAGCGGCAGTGGCACCGGACGCTCAGGAAGACCACCGGAAGATGCCGAGCGCCAAGATAAAGTTCGAGGCGAACCTTATGTCTTGGTGCCACTTGGCTGGTCGGAGGGAAAGGAGGTCTGAATGACTACTCTTTGCCTATGTGCCGGTATACAAAGCTTAGGGTAGTGACCAAGAGTTTTTCCCATGGTCATGACTTTGGTTAGCCTTTTGGTGCCCAGCACCATCCCGATCATTTTGACGATCCAATTCTTTCCGGGCAGGGGGGGCCTGGCCTGCCTGGGTCGGATGAGGAGAAGCGACCCCAGGAGCCGGCCCCGAGTTGGAGAAACACCCACCTCATCTAGGTCTCCCAGTAGTGCCCTTTTACCAACTTTTTTTGGGGGAGGGTTCCCCTACCATAATAGACTACAGAAAAAGTTGGTACCCTTATTCTATCCTCTCCACTAGACGACCCACCGCATTGTCAGCCAAGCTTCCAATTTGGAATGAGTATGTTCAACCTCCCTTCCCTTGTTCGGCCGCCGCGGTTTTCAGAACCACAGGACAATCCATCGGCCACAAGCTGACGGTTGACCAACTTCCTGTGTTCCTGTTGGTTTCATTTGCCCTTTGACGGGGACTAGTTCAGGGACTAGAATGAAGAGTTGACGTGCCTGTTTAGCAAGTACCTACCTCCTGAATTGTATGATTTAGTCATTTCAACAATTGAATATTTGTCACCGCTGGCATGGCGGGGGGGTTCCCAAAATGGTGGGCCTTCCGAGGCCCGCAAGAGGGCACCCACAAAAAGGCACGCCTTGAGATTGGTAGCATGGATTTGGTTACCATTTTTTTATGTGTTTGGAAAGGACACTCCTGCATTGGGGCCCCGAAGAAGACGACCCTCCAAAATTGTTGGTTTTTCCTGTGGTTGCCCTGCTCAGCAAAAGAGCACCCGCTAACAAACAAACATGCCGAAATTGGATGGACTGTCCACATTGTTTCTTGCCTTGCATGGCTTCCTCCAACAAAACAAAAATAAAGGGGAACTCATTCCAAGCAACAAATAAAGCTGCGCCCAGTGTCCATGCCAGTTTGGGAGGGGCGGCCATGGCGGGAGAGAGAGAGAGAGAGCGCGAACGAGAGAGAGAGAGAGGGAAAGAAAACAGGGAAACCACTAAAAATGTGTTTTTTTCCTTTTTAAACCATCAGGCCAGGAAAACAGGAAAGAAAGAAAGCAAGAAAGAAGCAAAGGAAGAGCCACCCATCTGGCGTTTTTTTTGGGGGGGGGTTCTCTCGGCAGGCATTTGGCACCACCGGGATCACTTGCTCAAATTCGGCAATCAGATGACTCACGGCGAGAAAAAGCCCGCCTTCCGCCTGTTGCTGGAGAATCGCCCCTCCGATCGCATTGGATGGGATGGGATTGGATTGGATTGGATTGGATTGGATCGAAGGTCCGGTGGTACGGGTGAAAAGGGAGGGGTGGGTTCCCAAATCCAAATGAACAGAAGCAAACGCAAAAAAGCAGTTCCCCAAAAGGAGCTTCCCTTGGCTGCAAGGCTGGAGAGAGCGCAAGCAAAAAAAGGAGCTTCCTCTAAACAGTTTGCTTTTGTCTATTTTGTTTCTTGGGGTGCCCAAGGACGTTTGCAGATCCAAAGAAGCTGGGTTCCGGTTTGAGTCCTAATGGATAGGGGTCCCTGCACGTTTGGGTTGAAAGTAGATGGCGAGGAGCTGTTTTTTTGCTTGAATTGCTGAAAAGGACAACTCAAAAGGGGCATCAAACAGCTTTAGGAGTCCCAAATCTTGGCATGATTCATGTGGGCGTGTCTTTGTGTTTAGACCACCGGCCTCCCAATTTGGGCGTTTGGTCCAGGTGGTGTGTGGCCGGGGTCGCGGCAGCTAGAAGAGGCGCTAGGCTAGACACGTGGCCAACCCATGGCGAGTCACAAACAAAACCTGGGTAGTAGGTGAGAAGGGGTGCGCAAAGTACTAACATACATGGCCCGCATGTAGCCCACATGTCGGATTCTGTTCCGTATTCAATCTACCCCAAATGTGAAATAGTTGGGAGGAGACCCCAGAATGATTGAAGCTCCCAACCATAACCAGGCCATTTCAGTTGGGTTCTGGGTAGATACCTTCAAGACCAGGTTTTGATTCTGGCGAAAGGGGCCCGACACATTTTTAGGCTGGCTGGGCCAACACTACTTCCTAGGGGTTGGTTCCATGATCCCCCGTTTTCACCAACCGATGACAAGTTTCAACAACTGGCCGCCTTCCCTGGTTTGGGGGAATTCCCGCGAAAGCATCTTTAAGAGGAATGCGGCAAGGGAGGCGTTGCCTACAACCGTGTAGGCCAGCCGATGGCGGTTGGGGGAATTCCCGCGAAAGCATCTTTAAGAGGAATGCGGCAAGGGAGGCGTTGCCTACAACCGTGTAGGCCAGCCGATGGCGGTGGGTGGTGGTGCTGGTGATGATTTTGTTATGGAGATGATGGGGATGACGGTATTGTGATTTCAGCCGGTCTTTTCGGGCGGGGCTTGGCAGGCAAGGGTCTTCCATTTGCCTCGACATCCAGATTCGCACCCCTTGGTATGGAAGGGCTCCCCTCAGAGGGAGGTGGTGATGCTGTACATGATGATTATTGTGCTTGCTGATTTCCCAAGGCCTCCCCACAGCAATGGTGGTGTTCCTCAGGCGCCGCCCGGAGCCCTCCACGTGTGGTTAGTTGATGTCCTACTGAGTCTTAGCGGGGGTCAATCTGGGGTCTCCTCCAGGGCTAGTCTGTATTTTACGCCAGGCGAACTATGAAACAGTATCAGATATCGTACGTATGTTTTGCGGATTTCATGCTGAATAGAGCGTGTTCTTTTTGTGTTTCGTTTGTTCGGGTGAGTTGGCTCTCTTCATTGGCTCTCTGCAACCGCTTTTTGGCCTTCAGCTGGACTTCCTCTTCAGGGACGGGACGGCCCTTCCACTGGCCATGGCCCCGGGATGTTCGGAGCTGAGGGCTGGAAGAAACCGTGACCGTCACTGCGCTGACTGTGGAGACGCAGCCGCTGGAGTCGTGGCCTTAGCTCTCTCTCTCTCTCTCTCTCTCTCTCTCTCTTTCTCTCTCTCTCTCTCTGTTTTTTCCTTGCTGCTGCGATGGGCAGGGAATGAGGGAATGAACTCTACAAGCCATCCCTTATGGTTTCCCTTGAGGTGGTTCGGATTGAAATTGGTGAACCCTCATTTTGAAGAGTTTCTTGCTGCCTTGGAAGATGGTTGAAGCACAGAGGATATAGCCCACTTGCGACTGGGTGAGTTCCACTTGGGGGACGGGACTTATGAGTCCTAGTTTAGGAACCACAATGTGAGAGCACCCAAGCATTACAGTTGGGAGGAGTCTTGGGCGGGTTGGTAGGGTCCGTGATCTCCATCAACCATGCCTACCATGACAGGGTGCCAATCAAGCCATAAACTTCTCATTTTCCGTAAAATCGGCGGAGGGGGCGGGGGGCGGAATGATGGGGTTCTTCAATGGATGGGTTCCAGCTTGCACCAAAGGAGGGTCATGTGCGTAGAATTCTACCACCATTTGAACCCATTTCAGGCCACCCAAAACGATTGACACAAGCCACAATCAAAACCTTGGGTAGATGAAGGTTAGTAAGGGACAATCCCAACCATGAATAGCTGCGACCGCCTTCTTGATTCTTGAAGCATAGTGCTGGGTCGACCATTTTGATACCGGGTGTTGCTCATGACTCACCAGGGCATGGATCTTTCAATCTCAGCTTTTGCTCCCGACCCCCAGGCTGGTTTGGAGGTGAGGGGGGGTGCCTTCCACCCACAGGGCTTGACACGTGGATTCCTTGAGTCTCTTCTTCCGCGACACCGTCATCCGAGAGCTTCGCCAGCTTCAGCAGGAGGAGTGGCGAGGGCGAGTCGCCGGGGGGGGGGGGGGGGGGGCATTTTCCCATCACGGAGCCTGACAGGGGCGGGGGGGTCCTGCAAGACCATTTTCCTTTAGGAACCCTTTGGTTCCAAGTGTTGTTATATCCAGAGGAGTGTGGATAAGTGTCAACAACGGGAGAGAGGGACCTTGGGGACGATCCAATGAGTTTATCCTTACTGTACTGTTGTCGGTCATTGTACGTATACATGGAGGAATGCAGGGTATGTGACATTTCCACGCCTCGCAATCCCGCGCAACGAATGCCCTTGAAATCGCATTTTGATTAAGCAGGGCCAGGGTCCCTTACAGAGCATTTGGCCAGTTGAAAAACACGTTTTCCAGATGATTCAGAGAAACCCCTTGTAAAGCACGTGGTTTTTGGATGGATATACAAGCCCAAGAGAGGAATCCAGGTTTGAAGCCAGGTGTCTGTTTTGTCCATGTCAAGCTTCCATATAGAACGTCCCTAAGTCCCGTGGCCTTCTACTGTCCTTCAGGCGAATGGCCTTGCAAGTTGCGCAAGTTGAACCCGACCAACATGTGGTTATAGACATCCTCCCAGTTTTGGTACTCTCCCATTTGACAAAAGGGGATTTCCAGGTATTTGTTCGCCCTCGCGGCCTTTTTTTTTAACGGGATTATCATGAAGGTTTCTTTGGAGTAGCTTTTGTCTCGGTGAGTAGTTCTGATTCACCTAGATTCACTGATTATATTAAGGGTCCCAGATCCATGGGGTTTAGACCTTACCTCAATTTATCTCAAATTATCTCAAATTATCTCAAATTATCTTATTTTTGCATCTGATGTGCAAAAAGATGCAAAAACATGCAAAAAGATGCAAAAAAGTGCAAACACAAGCAAAACAGTGCAAACACATGCAAAACAGTGCAAACAATGCAAAACAAAAATGCAAAAAATGCAAAAAACAAAACAATGCAACAAAATGCAAAAACAACTGCAACAAAATGCAAAAAATGCAACACAATACAACACAATGCAAAAAGAGTGCAACAACAATGCAAACATACATGACACAAATGCAAACAAGGACAAACACATGCAAGAACATACAACATGCATTAAGTGTGTGTCACTCAATTCTATAATAATGATTATTTTTATTGTCGCATCAGTGAGTCGCAAGTCATCATGAGCGCACGTTAGCGCCAGCAACGTTGGACCATTCCATTGTCCATCATCATTATTCATTCTTGACGTCGCTGGCGAGCCAGCTCAAAAAATACTCTGCCATGCGTCAAGTCAAGCGCTTTCAATAACTTGTGGCCAGGACAGCGGCACGGATCACGGTCATCGTCACAGATCGTTGGAATGGGGTGTTCTTGCACATAAGTCGAATCAAAGTTCGAGCAATGGGAGCAATGCAATGTCTGGCGATTGTCGTTGATGATCATGAGCAATGCGCCACGCATGCCAGTAACAAAGGTCACAGGTTCCCGATTGACTCGCAGAGCACTCGGCAACTGAACAAACGCTTCAAGTCCAACCCACATAATAGTCACACCACCAGACATGCCGAGCCGGTCACCGGTCCTGACATCTGTCAGTGTAGATTCTGCAAGAAAGACTGGGCAAGGTTCACGTTCCAGTTCCGAGTCCAGCTCCGATAAATCTGACTGCTCGACGTCGTCATTGTCATTCCCCTGCTGAAGCTCCGGCTCAGTCATTTCAACTCCCCAGTCCCGTGGCTGAGCGTCAGTCCAGTCAGGCTGAGGAAGTTCGATTTGACACACTGTCGCACTGGCTTCAACTTCTGATTCTGAAGATTCAGTGTGACACACTGTCTGACTTGCAGGAGAATCTGTCACTGTCCGACGCTTCTTATTAGCAGGCAAGCCAGTTGACATGAGGCTTCAATGTCAATGGTTCACAAAATCTCAATCAAGCACGTTGAGTCAACTGCTACTGACAGGCTTGAGCCGCAAAACCGCATCTCAAGCATGACTGGAATGTTTGCAGCCTGAACATGGGTCATGGTTCATGTCATTCATGATGGCATGTGCGCGCACGGCTGTTGCCATAAACTCAAATGAAGTCAGGATATTTATAGAGCGACAACTTGTTTCTTCCTCTTGTTCCATTGACTGCTGGGCCTCAAGTGAGCTTCCGCACTCACGCATCTAAACTCACTTGCGCAGCCCTGTTGCTGTTTTCCAAAGTCGCACACAGTCGAGTCAAGCAGTTTGCCCATCAGTTAAAAGTTGCAGCTCCGCTCTGTACTGGAGCAACACACTGCTTGTCTATTATTGGCTGAAGATCAATCCAGCACGAGGCCATGACGCATTGAATATGCACGAGCAAGCTTGTGACAGGCACATGAACACTGAGGGCCACAATGGTGCGCTAAGCCGCACGCAGTGCACCAAAGAACACGATCTCGCGCAGCCAAAGTAATAGTTCCAGCCCTGGCAGTAAACAACCACACCTTTTTATGCATCGATGTGCTGTAGCTCACGGGCATCCGAACAAACCAGTCACCTTCGATGAACTTGAACTTGCGATCGGCAGTTGGTAAGGGCATCTGCATCTGGTCAGCAAGCACTTCTTGAAGCACCACTGGGCGCAGATCTCCCGTGTCTGGAGTCGAAGAGCGTGGTCGTTTTTTTGTGGGAATCACATCTTGGGGTCCACTCAAGGTGCCCTCCTGGCATGTGGCCTCCTGGTGTTCGTCATCATCAATGGCAGTGTCATTGGCCATGTTGTTTGTGCACGGCGACGCAGACTCAATAATTATAGTAGCAAAACTACCAGCATCCTCACATTTCCATAGCGTCTGCCTTAGATAGTGTGCGCCCGAACCCCGCACCATCACTTTGCCTAAATTGATGACAGCAACACCTAATGCATACAATCATTATTAAGCCCAGCAGCGACATTGCGAGTTTAGCAAAAGTGGGAAGCACTTGAGTCTGCGCTTTCAACTGACAGCACTTGAACCGAACCGCCACAACTTGTTTTGCCACAAGCAATTCCCGTACACAAGTGCAAGCAGGCCAATGACATGATGAGATACTTTGCACTCAGCACACCAGAGGTTCTCGCTATTTTATCAAGTCGTGCGCAACTCGCAAACGAGCAAAGAATTATGCCTTCTGTCTACAGCCACATGTTTTGGAAGACTGGATCCAGTCCTTAACCTGTAGCTCAGTCATTATAGTGCTTGTCCTCCTCAATTGGCCTTTTGATGGCCACTCGCCTGGCAGAGCGCCACCACAGCACAGAACTAAGACTTCAAGACTATTATTACGCACACACACACAAACAATGGTCATTATGATTTGCCCGCCTTTCTCCCAGTCGTAGCACCTCATGATCCAGGTTGGCTTGTCTCGGCCCCCTGGCGCTGGATGAAACTTGTAATGCCCACATTGCTTGCGGCAAGTATTGCAGGAAACCTCAGTCCAGATAAGCGGATCAAACACAGCAGGTTGCCGGGGTCCATGGTGGCCAGGGCGACTTGATTGTGCACCGGCACCATCAGCCATAGCCAAATCATCGGCACTGCTGGAAGCAGCAATGACACTTGCCCCAGAACTTGGCAATGGCTCATCACTGTGCCTTGTCGATTTGCTTGGAGATTGGGTGTGGCTGGCAGGTGGCAGGTCCGCCTGCGGACTCAGCCTGTTGCCGTCGTCCGCCACACTGGCTGGCTTGTCTTCTGGAGGAGCCGTGCTGTTGTCCTCCGCCACACTGGCTGGCCGCTCTTCTGGAGCAGCCTCGGCCTGCGCAGCAGGCCTCGCAGATTCAGGGCACGACGACACTGAGTGAGTTCTACGAACCACCCGCCGCTGCCATGGATTCGGAGTCACAGCTTCAACTTCTTCAGGGACTTCAACCAGCACGTTTCCCTTTTCATGGGTGTCACCTTCGCGAAGAGCAGGGCAGTCTTGTCTTTTCTTCTTCAGTGCGCCATGCCAAATCTTCCTGCTCGCCTTGCTGGCCACTTTGGAGCTGCTTGATTTGGCAGTCTTCAGCCCCTTTATTATGTTGGCTTTGTTGCTTGCCTTGGCCTTGGCCTTTGTCTTGGCCTTGGACTTGGCCTTTGTCTTGGCCTTTGTCTTGGCCTTTGCCTTGGCCTTTGGCGTCATGGCCTTTCTGACTACTGCCCATTCCTTCTGCTTCGCACGAGCCTGATGTTTCTCAATTGTTTTTTGAACTTGCTCAAACTCACGACGATCTTCTGGGTCCATGTCCTCCAACACCATTGCATCAAACTCAAGATCATCCTGATCAGCCTTGCAGACACTCTCATCAGAATCACTGTCGTTGCCAGCGGGGGCATTGTTGTGCAGAGCTTGCACCTGAGCCACGAAGTTGGCCGTGATGTCATCAGTATCGCCATCCCGCTGTGACGTTTCCGCAGCAAGAACTTTCAATAGCTCAGGTCTGCTCATCGCTTGAAAAACTGGCACAGCAGTCTTGCTGCAAGCACGCAGGTCGATGCCCTTCAAGTAGCACACCAGGGCCGCCAGCTCTTTGTTCAGCATCTTCTTTGTCAGCCTGAGCAGGTGACAGCACAACTGACAACAAGACAACATCAAGCATGCTGCCTGACATGAGTGTCACAGCGCGACTTCATTCAGATCCAAGCAGCGTTGGCTGTGTAAGAAAAGTTCTCAGCAAGCTGCGCTCCACACCGGACGATTGCCTGGCCAATCGGAGACCACCTTGCCACTCAATGCAAACAGGCTGCGTCTCCACCACCATCCACATCTCTGGTTGCTCGATGAACATGAAGTCTGCCTGCCCTTCAGCATCCAGCACAAAGCACGCATCTCCAAGGGCACCACAGTGGTTCGCTTCAGGAGTGTCCACCACAATCACGGGCCACCCTACACAAGCCCATGTGGCAGAGCTCAAGCAAAAGCAGAATGACTCATCTGACAAATTCTTCATGACCTCCTGCCGTGGCGCCAGTTTGTTGAACACCCCTTGCCAGATTTTGGCAGCTCCTTC